AGAGAGAGAGAGAGAGAGAGAGAGAGAGATGTCGGATGCTGTGGCGGTTGTCCGCAAAAGGGTGGACGCATTGGACGGCAAGGAAGTCGTCGTCCAGGAGACGAGGCACGAGAAGGGCAAGGAACGCGATCGAGATATGAAGTGAGGCCCCGCTGTGGAACTGCCGGAGAGTCATACGTGCGACGCGCTTGTGAATGGTGTCGTTGCCATGCGGATCGTAGGTGGGCTGGGGTATGATGGCGAGAACAACCTCATCGAGGTTGTCCTATTCGTTAGGAAGCTGTCCGCCATCGTCCCTGACACGTGGCAGATGCCGGCACGAGAAGTCGTCGGTGATTTCATCAGGTTCCTCGTGTCTGCCCTCGCAGGAGAGCATATGGGCGCCATGCACGGGAATGCGTCCTACGTGGCACACATGGAGCTCCCCCTACGCGAGAGAGGTTACCTTCATGGGGCGGTCCAAACTTGGTCCCCGCAGGACGACATCCGGGCTGTGCGCCGCATGTGGTAGAGAGGACCAGGCCAGTGCATGGGCGTGAGCACAACAGTGGAACCAACGCATGCACGAAGAAACTCCCTCCCAACAACGAACACAGTTGATTCTCTGCTGGAGTTTGTCAGAGTGTATTGAGACGGAGGTGGATGAGTGATGACCGCTGCAACGCGACGAGGGTGCTTGTTCTAGGTTTCGGGCAGTGGGCGGGAAGAAGGCGACGTGGCATCTGTTATGCAGATGTGACGTGACTTCGTTTCGTGGATAGGTGTTGTGGAAGCCAGATCTCGTCATCGTCGACGTAGGTCAATTTGTCGTCCCAATGAATTGTTGGCCGTCAATTTTCGTTTCCGCCATGGGAATGTCGTCATTCTTTTGTAGGGGCGTTTGTCGTCCTGTGGATTCCTTATCGCTTGGTATCATGCAGGGGTGGCTTTCAACCTGTAGCCGGTGATTCGTGTGCACAACAGCACAGTTGACCTGTTCATTTATAAAATTGAGCTTATGTGTTGACACACTCTCTCTCTCTCTCTCTCTCTCTCTCTCTCTCTCTCTCTCTCTCTCTCTCTCTCTCTCTCTCATATGTTGACTCTCTCTTTCTCTCTCTTTCTCTCTCTCTCTGTCACGTGTTGACTCTCTCTTTCTCTTTCTCTCTCACTCTCTCTCTCTCTCTCTCTCTCTCTCTCTCTCTCTCTCTCTCTCTCTCTCTCCTCCCCCCTTCCCTCCATATCATGGTGATGAATCAGAAGCCTCACATTTTGACGGTATCTGTTCGAACAGGGGATTTGTGAAAACCTCACAATCGGAGAAAACCTAACATTTTCTTATAGAATGAAAAAGTAAAAGTCAAACTGTTATTTTTTACACAAAAAAGAGCGTTTTTAATCGTTTTGCGATAAAGGAGGCAAAAAATCAGCCGAAAAGTCTAGCGTTCCTCAAAATGTGCAAGAAAACCCTTCCTTGCAAAATGCTTTTATTTGACTATAAGTCATTCTCAGTAGATTGGCAAAAAAACAGAGCTCAAACACAGTAATTTTTAAGGATGACAAGGCAAACTTGAAAGATGTAAAAAAAAACGTGTTTTGGTGAATACTTATTTATAGGACTATAATTCAGTTTTCCGGAGTTAGGTAAAGTCAAGCTCTGCACAAAATAATTTATAGGACTATAAATCACTTTTGAACTTAACAATAAAACCCTTATCAAAAAATATATGTCATTTAAAATAAGCTAACTGGCCGGATGATCGGGGGGTAGGATCATCCGGAAATCCGAATGATTAAAAAAAAGGTAAAAAAAAAAAAAAAAAAAAAAAAAGTGATATTGCGCATTCAAAATACAATAGAACTACATTATTATTTCATGAAAAGCTTGATAGGGCATTGAAGGGTTCAAAGGGGGTAAGATAGGGAATAAAGGGGTTTAGAGGGGGGATGCTTAATTCATTCTATAATTTTTTATCATAATATTATTTTATTCTTCTGTTTTATTTTTTATCTTTATATCTGTTGAGATATCAAAGATGACCTTACGCCAAATGTTGTTCGTATCATTCATATGAACAACATACTTTTTTTTCAGATTTTTTTGATTTTTTGTTTTTTTGGAAAAAAGAAATATTTTGCGCAGGGCCGGATTTTCCATACCCGGAATTAATCCGAAAAATTCATCCGGATTAAAAATTCCGGATAAAATTGGTCTGCCGGATATCCAAATTTTCTACCTAGAAAATAAGAATACAAACAACTTTTGCCTCGGAGACACCTTGAAATTCTTAGCCAAACACAAGTTTAAAATAAAAATATAGGAAAAAAAATTAAAATAAACAATAAAAAAAATATATTCGCCCATG